GGGTTGGTACCAGGGATCAAACTCGGGACCTTGCATTTGAGAGGCAGGCACCAGAACCACTGAGTTAAATCCTCGGCCCAATGACTCTGATTTTTAATAGTGATTTTACTCTACTACCACCATATCCTTAGACAAAGTGACTCCCAGATCAGACACAGCAAATCACGATTGGTCTAAGCTAATATTGGGGCTCTACTTCCTGTATTATTTACTGCCTTATTCATAGCCAATAGTGCTTGAAGCGAAGCCTTTCAGGTGACTACTGGGAATAATCATGGCCAGTAAACACATGAAGGGATATCCTTAGCTGCCAGTAGGATGTATAAGTCTGAAATTCAGGAGAGAGCTCCAGAATGGAAGTATAATTTGGGCACATATTCCCGAAGGTCAAACACTACATGGATCGAGGACCGACTGCTGTGCGCAAGTGGACACTGCTGGTAGCCCAGACAGGAGGACATTGCTGGAATAGCAGAGGTGAAGCCTCAATTAGAAAGGGTCTCACTGGGTCTCAGAGGAAGAGGAAGGCCAGGCCTGGAGGACAGGATAGACCCCTTTCTGAGGCATTTGCTCTAAAGCAGGGCAGAAAAAACAGGCAGTAGCTGGAGTGACAAGCAGAGTCAAGATGGCATTTATTTGTATTTTTTAAGATGGAAGAAACAAGTTCATACTGTTCTAACAAGGAGAAAGAAAAACAAACAGCAGTATAGGAGAGAAGGAGAATTGCTGGATAGATGTCTTTGAGTCAGTGAAACGATATGAGGCCAAATGCTTGTGCTCCTTTAAGTACGATGGACTAGTTACAGTCTGAGAATGCGTTGTCACTAGTTTGGGTACATTGTCTCAGTTTTGCAAGATGAAAAGAGTTATAGACTGCGTGGTGGTGATGGCTGCACGACAATGTGAAGGTATTTAATGTCCGCAAACTATACCCTTGAAAATGGCTGAGACAGTTAGAAGAAAAATCTGGGTATCGAGGGTTGGCTCAGTGATAGAGCACATGCTCAGCATGTGTAAGGCCTTGAGTTCACTCCCAGAACCGAAAAGCAAAACAAAACCAAAAATCCAAAAGACGCTGGGCATTGATATGTCTGTTATTTCAAATTTGATGTTTTCTAGTATATACTTTTTTGGGGTACTGGGGATCAAACTTGGGACCTTGCTAAGAGCAAGCTAAATCTCCACTGAGCTAAATCTCCGGCCCATAGTATATACTTTGTATTGTATTTTACAAACATAAGTGTGACATTGGAAGAAAAACTGTCTTTTACTTTTAGCACAGACAGCTTGAGAAAAATTGAACAGGGTTTGATGTAAGCTAACAGACAAATACAGGGCTGGGAATGTAGCTTGCCTAGAATGTGTGAAGTTTGATTCCCAAGCACTGAAAAAAAAAAGAGACAAATACAATAATTCACTTGTAGCTGGGCATGACAACACATGGTTATAATCCCAGCATTCTAGGAAGCTGAGACAGGAAAATCCCAGCGAGTTTGAGGCCAGCCTGGGCCATATTACGAGTTCAAGGCTATCCTGGACTGCATAGCTAGAAGCTATCTCAAGAAAAACAAAGCAAAGCAAAGCAAAACAAACCAAACCAAAACAACAACAACCTCAATAAAGAGAAATAATTCATGTGTAATTTCAGCTGGGGATGTAGCTCAGCGGCACAGTTTCTGCCTGGCAAGCATGAGGCCCTGAGTTCAATTCCTGATACTGGGGGAAAAAAATAAAGAAAGGAAGACAGAGAATAGAAGCAGAGTTAGTTACAGGTTGGTTGGAAGTTATGGTGAGTGGTGGAAACTTGTAAATGTTGTTTTTTTCCTTTCATTTTCTCAGTGAGTTAGAAGCAAAATCATCAGCTAGATGTGAATGAGGGAGGAAATGTTGGAGGTTTGGAGAGAGAGAGCCCTGAAATAGTTATCTAGGGGAGTGGGAGAGTGTATGCAACTGGAAAAATTAGTATTGAGGGCCCATCTGAGTATAATGATATGAAATTCGGGGGAGTTAGTCAACAACTAGTACGGCTGTAGATTTTTCTCCATTCCTTTTGATGTAGGCACGGGCCTGGAACTATATTAGTACAAAGAAAGGAAAGAATAACTGGAGAAGTGATAGTGAATATCTGGGAATAATTTTCATAATGGGAAGTAGAATCTAAGCTATTTAAGGAAGGAAGGGAGGACAGGAAGGGAGTAGGAGGAACGCGACTGGACCTGGAGGCTTGGCGGAGTTGAATATTGGGAGCTGGAATATTGGAGGGAGGGAGCTAAAAAGGAAGAAGAATGTGGTGGAAGCTAGATGATTAAAATGGAGATTACAGGGGTCAGGGATGTGGCTCAGTGGTGCAGCGCTTGCCTAGCACTCAAGAGGGTCTGAGTTAAATCCTGACAGAAATTGAGAGAGAGAGAAAGGGAGCGAGCCAGTGAGCGAGAGAGAGATTGCAATTATTTGTAATAGAGGGCACGAGCATGTGAATGAGAGGCTGAAGCTGGGTGGTCTGTAGAGAGGAACCTGAGAGGCCAGAGCATTGGAAGAATCATCTAAGAACGTTGAAATCGACAAGAATGATGACAATAGTCATGAGTTACAATCAGAAGCTAAAATTTGAAGGAATGGTGGTGAGCGACAGACTGACACAAAGATGTACAGACGACAGCAGCGAGTGCCCCTGTCCTCCTGTCATGACGTAAGATTTAAAGCTCTTTTCTTTGTTAGAGGAGCCAGGAAACTTGGAAGGGGCCTTGCCCCTTTAAGGGGCTAGGCGGGCGGGGCGGGGGTCCAAGCCGAGTCTGCGCAGTGGGCGGGGGCGGGGCCCGGTTAGCAAGCGGGGCGGGGACTCGCGGGGGGCGGAGTCTGGGCACGGCTAGGGCTGAGGCATCTGCTGCTCTTCTAGCTTGGGAACTAAGGAGGCCGAGGCCTGAGCCGAGCCCGGACCCGCCGCTCGCCGGAGCCCCTGGATCCCTCGCGCCGGTTCAGCCTGGGGGCGGGCTCGGGGCCGGCCCGGCGCCGCACCCCGGACCGAAGCTGCTTGGCCGAGGACCTGGCCGGCGCAGCCATGGTGAGGGAGCGAGGCCTGCCCTGCTGCCCCCGCCCGCCGCCTTGCCCCGCGGCCGCTCCTCCCTCGTCTCGGTGTCCCCCGGCGGCCTCGCCCGCCCTCCCGCACCTCGGCCCTGAGTACCGCACCCTCAGCATCCAACCCCTCGTGCCCGGTGCTCCCTGTCCAGCTGCTGGGGAGAGCGCCTTAGGTGACACCCCTTCGTCCCCCTGCTCCCCTGGACGCCCTTTTGTCACCCCCAGTGACAGCCTCCTTTGCGTGTTCTCTGCATCCCCCTCCTCAGCCTTTTACCCTCCCTTCCTTTTCTGCTCGACCATTTTGCTTTTTTCTCTCTTCTGTGATCTTGACCCCATCCCCCTTTTTCTTCTCTGTATTTGGCTCCTGTACTTGGCTCTCCCTTTGCCCCCTTCACCATTTTACCCACCGCCCCCGCCTCCCCTTCCTTCTCTGCCGTCCACATTTCCCCAGCTCCTTATCGGATGTCCTTGCTCGCCCAGCTTTGCTCATTTCCTTCGATGGTTTCAAGGGTCTAAGCAGAAACAATCTGAAAGATACTGCTTCCCAGGAGCGGGTTGGGGGGAGTAGATAGGGATTCGTGGGGTCCATTTCTTTCTTTCTTTCTTTTTCTTTTTGTTTTTGGTTTTTTGGAGGGCGGAAGAGGGGTTGAGGGTATGGAAGAGAGCCTGGAAGCTTTATTGCCTAGTGTCATGGCCAGACCTGAATGATGGTGTGTTTGTTGTACAGTGGTGGGGTAAGGACTCACAGGCATATTGTGACCTTTTGGGGTATCTAGCTTTTTCACAGAAATAGCTTGAAAGATTTTTTTTTGAAATTGATTTTGAGTGTCTTTTAATGTGGAGATACACTTTGGGAAGTTTAAAGATATTTATTTACAAGCTTAACTGTTAATACTTAGAAAAAAATGCTTTGTTTTTGTTTGGAGGCAGAGACCAAGGGCATTTCAGGACTGAAAATCAGCTTGGCAGTCAGACTGTCAGTCTCTTTATTACTTTTAAAAGGTTTATTTGTTTTGCCCTTACTTAGGGAGAAATCTTTTGTTTGCAGATTTTCTTCCTGTTTCAAAATAGGCTGAGACTTAAATTGGTTTTTCATTTAGTTGGGTTATACATAGTTTGCAGTACATTTATTGAAAAATGTGTTATATACAGCAAGCTAAATTTTTTTTATCCTGAGAGGATTATAACAGTCTAGTCAAAACTAAATCCTGGTATTCGTGTTCTCCTAGGTTAGTCAGTTTCGATTTTGCTTGCATCTGATTTTTAGCAGTGTTTTACTATCAAATCATTTAATCTATAAGCTTTCCCTAATTCACTGACTCTTGGATTTATAGGTTTTCCTTTTCTGTGTCTGTCTCCTTCCTTCACAATGCATCACACTGTCATTGTGAGCTAAATTGTTTCTGTCCTGGAAAAAACAAGTTCTAGCAGTAACTGTATCTCTTATTCCTGTTATTCCTGATGCCCAGGTCAAGTAGGTGCTTGACTGTTTGACTTTATGTTCTCATTTTCCCACCTGACAAGCACAGTCTTAAGCAGAAATTTGAGGCAACTGAACTACACAGAGTGAATTTTGATAATTTTTTTAATGCAAAAAGGAAATTTAGAGAGATATGGTGATATTCTTTTTTAGAATAAAGAGCCATCTTACCTAAATCAACAAATTGCTAGATTTTTGAGAAGTCCTTACTGAGATTTTTGCCCTCCCACTGAGAATGAATATATTAGTGTAGAGAGTTCGTATAGAGTTGGAAACTCCTCTTTGGGTATTTAGGATCCCAAAGTGTCATTTGAGCTGGTTGTGAAAGACGAATAGATTCATATAGATCATTTTGGGAAGGGGAAGAAAGCTTCATTTTGTGTGTAAATAGAAAGTAGAAAGAAATTAGGATATATGAAAGCAGGATTACTTTTATATAGCATGGAAGGATGCTGTAATGGGGGTGTATAGTAGGAAATGAGGCTGGAAAGATAGTCTTCGTCTGTTCTGGCTGCTGAAATAAAATACCATACTCTGGGTAGCTTATAAACCACAGAAATTTATTTCTGAGAGTTTGGAGGTTTGGAAGTCTAGGACCAAGACACTGACACATTCACTGTCTAGTGAAGGCTGTCTTCCTGATTCATAGATGGCATCTTCTCCATGTGCTTATATATGATAGAAGGGCCAGGCCAAGTCCAGGGCTTCTTGTATAGGGGCATGGGTCCTATTCATGGTGATCTAATCACCTTCCAAAGGCCGTCTTTCCTAATACTATCTGCTTCACAGTTAGGATTTCCACATGAATTTGGTAGACACATTCAGACCATAGGTATATTAGGCATTACGTTATGTTTGAAACTTTGCATCCAACTAGCTTGATTTTCCTCATTTATGAAAACATGTATACATACAGAGTGCATGTACAGGAGAGGCAAAGAGAAAGCAAAATACTAGTTTATTGTGAGTTGGAAATCATTTGTAGGAGCTACTTTTTTTTTTTTCTTGTGCAGTAGATTTAGTAGGCATTCAGTAAATAGAGTTGTAGGCCAGGTGTAGTGGCCCACACCTATAATCCCAGCACTTGGGGAGACAGAGGCAGGAGGATTGCTGAGTTCGAGGCCAATATGGGCTACATAGTGAGTTCAAGGCCAGCCTGAGCTACATAGTGAAACCCTGTCTCAAAAAAAAAAAAGTTGCATGAATGATTACTATAAAACTGTATGTTTTTCAGATGTTTATTATGGCCAGGCACAATGGCATATATGGTAGGATGCTTATCAATTGTAATTTCGTATTACTTGTTGTGATTATTTAATTTAAGTCTCCATATCCAGAGTGTAAAAATAATTGACACAGGGGCCGGGGATTTAGCTCAGTGGTTCCGCCACCTGCCTTCCAAGCATAAGGTCCCAAGTTTGATCCCTGGTATCAAAAGAAAAAACAACAAAAAACCCCCACAGAGGTGATTTTTGACCAGCTGCTAAGGGCCAGAGGATGTTGTAATGCTGTGGTCTCAGCGGTTAAAAAAAGACATGCTAGGAGGAGGAGGTAGGGATAGACAATAAATAAATCTATAAATATATAGTGAGAAATAGTTATACTTACTAAGAAAAAGTAAACCAGGGTCAGATATAAAGTGATGTATTATAGGTATGACAACAATTTTAGATAGAACAGCAACATTAGTATTTATTCAATATGAGTGTAGTATACACTGTTCATAGTGCTTTATATATTTTGTCTGATTTAATTCTCATAGCAACTTAGTAAGGTAGGTAATAGCTTGATGAAGGTAAAGACCATGTTTGGCTCATCATTATTGTATCTACAACACCTACATTGTACCTTGTTCGTAAGTGCTCAATAATTTGTTGAATGAATGAATAAATTTGTGGATGACCAGAAATTAAGGGAGGCTTGGCTGAAAATGGGACATCAAAACTGTGGGTTTTAATATGTGGGATTCTTTTTATTTCTGGTACTGGGGATTGAATCCATGGCTTTTGCACCAAATTACATCTCCAGCCCTTTTAGTCTTTGAGACAGGGTCTTGCTAAGTTGTTAACTTCCCTGGGCGGTCCTCCTGCCCTAGCATCCCACAGTGCTGGCATTACAGGCATGTGCCTTGATGCCTAGCTAACAAGTGAGTTCTATGGGTAAGGGTTTGGGAAAGAATGCCATTCCTATGAAAGGGACCAAGTAGAGCATAGAAGCTGAGATAGTAAATTCACTTTTTGTTAAAAAAGCAAAACATTTATTGGTACATTTTAGATATATATAATGATCACATTAATCATAGGGAATTTATACCTGTACAAGGTATATCTTCTTTTTTTCACATTCCTCTCCCTTCCCTTTGACCTCTCTTCCCTTCTATTTACAAAAGCTTTGTTTCCAGTAAATTCATTTTTAAAAATGTTCTCCTAAGACCCTAGAGGCACTTTGTATTCTAGGCACTGATGTATTCTAGGAAACATGTGGCTCTAGCACGGACGTCACAGTAGGAGGAGATTAGGGACCCTAGGGTCAGATTATGGAGGATCTTGAGTCACAGGCTAAGGAGTTTGGCTTTACTGTAAAGCCCCTCAGGCTGGGCATGGTGGTGCATGACTGTAATCCCAGCACTCATAATCCTGAGGCAGGAGGATCACTGCAGGTTTGAGGCCAGCCTGGACTACATAGTGAGACCCTGTTTCAGACAAAACAAAAAAACAACAAAAGACCCTGAGTACTTTGAAAAGTGTGTGTGTGTGTGTGTGTTTATCATAATCTAGAGAAGATTTTGAGGGTGATCATTCTAAATGCATTATGAAACATGATTTGAGATGAGAGTTGTATTGGTTTGTGTGTGAACTTTCACCTCACCTTGTGCTAGTGGTAATTTAAATTGGAGAAAAGAGTATGGGTAAATAAAACGTGAGGATCTAGCACACTGCTTTTTGGCTAATTGAGTTTTCCATAGAGATAGCACTATAGACTTGTGGAAGAGCAGAATCATAATTGTCATATTTGTCATAATTTTGTCATAATTTTGAATCATATTGTCATAATTTTGCTCACTGACCCTCCATTTTCATATATGTTGCCTATGGGGACTTACAGAATCCCTAGAACATTAAAACAACATAAATTTACTACACTAAAGTCCTTTCGTTATAAACAGTTGGTCTCCCAGAGGTCATCTGTTAGGAAACCCAGGACTTGCTAACTTTATGTGTTATTGTTAGTAGTGCTTTGAGGTTGCTAATATCATCTTCATTGTCCTGTAATGGCTGAATATACAGAGATTATATGAAGAATTAATCAACCATGTGAAAAGTACACCAACAGGGCCGGGGATTTAGCTCAGTGGTTTCGCTGCCTGCTGCGCAGGTGCAAGGACCCTGGTTCGATCCCCGGTACCAAAAAAAAAAAAGTACACCAACACACAGATACATCTTTTTCACATCTATGCTTATAGGAAACTGGAGGTCAAACAAAGGAGACTGTCCTGTTTTAACAGT